CCCTGGAGGACCGGCACTGATCAGTGTCGAGTTTCTGACAGACACGGTCCTGGTCCAACCCAAACAGTAGGCAGTCTCTGTTTGTTGTGTCTCACACACACACACACACACACACACAGACACACACACAGACACGTGCAGCTCACAGCCTGTGATTGGACCTGGTACCACGTGGTTCTGTTCTCGCTCCTTGTATGGACCTGTGGTTCTGAGGGGCACCGGGTTCAGGACCGGATTCTCAGAACCAGAGAACACAGAGTCCTGCCGCGGGCACGCGCTCTGCGCGCTCCCCACTGTCAGCCTGTGCAGAACCTGAACCGGTTCCGGTTCTGGTTCTGGTTCTTTACTCTTCACATCAGTTCAGTTTGGGTCTGAGGACCGGACGGGTTCTGGTGGTTCTGGACTCGGTGTTCCGGTTCGGTCGGTACCAGTTATGTAACGTCTGAACTGTCGGGTTCGGTTGGACCGGTCCACTCAGGCGGGGGGGTTCGGCCTTACAGAACCGGGCTCGGCTGGTTCAGACCGGGCTGCTCGGTTCTGGTCCGGGTCTGAGGAGCACCTGTGAGCCTGGCTCCATCTGTGAACCGGTACCGGCTCGGTTCTGTGATCCGGTCCTGCGGTTCGGTCCGGGTCTCGCGCCTCCACCCCCCGCGGCAGGTGGTCCGGTCTGAGTGACGTCATCCTTTGTTTACAAATGAGACGGTGTGTCGGCTGGACTGGACCGGATCAGAGCCGCGTGCTGAGACCCGGAGGCTCGGTGACCCCGGTACCGGACGACATGCCGGGCCTGGAGCAGAACTTCCTGGTTCTGGAACAGTCGGTCTCGGTGGACTCGAAGGACGTGGACGCGCTGGTGACCCGGATCGAGGGGGTCCTGCAGCTCCACAGCACCCCAGTAGGACTCAGGTCCGGCTCGGTTCCGACCGGCCCGGTCCAGACCCACAGCTGCTGCCTGCGGCTCCGGAACCAGCGGACCCAGAGGGGCAGCCCGTACCAGCTGCCCTCCTCCCGCAGCGACCAGGACCAGAACTGGGACCAGATCCGGCCGTGGAACAGGAAGCGGGTCCGGACGGATGAGGCGGACCCGCACCGGGTCCTGCAGGACCTGGTTCTGTCCGGGAACCTGATCAAAGAGGCGGTCCGGAGGCTGCAGTTCTCCCAACTGGACTGTGGAGACCTGAGCTGGACCCGAACCCAGGACCGGGGTCCGGACAACGTGCCCTGTTCCTAACACAGAACCGGACTGAACCGGACCGGACCTGTGGAACTGGATCAGACTGAAGGGTTCTGGTTCTGGGTTTTGTTTGGTTCTGATGCTAACTGTTAGCCGGCCGGCTAACGCGCGTGTTGATGTTTTTCACCTGGGGGGTCAGAGGGTACAGGCGCGTGCGTGAACGCGCAGTGGTGTGGGGTTTGTTGTGGGGCGGGGCCTGAACTGTCTGTCAGAGGCCCCGCCCCCTCACGGTCTGTCTGTCAGAGGCCCCGCCCCCTCACGGTCTGTTTGTTTGTTCAGTCACGTGACTGCTTCGTAGCGGAGCGCCTCCTGTTTCCTGAATTCTCAGGACTTCTTTGTTGTTTTAATAAACAAACTTGTTTTACACACTTGTTGTTGTTTATTTCATTTTAACTGTTTATTTAAAAACAAATTTTATTAATTTAGTTTTTATTTTACACACACTGTATTTACAGTAACTCAGGACCTGACATCCAAATCATCTGTCAAAATAATATTAACAACAATAATAACATTAATTACAACAATAATGATAAATAAAATAATAAAACTCATTATTACAACAACAATAATAAAGTCAGATGAAGGTTTGTTCAGCCTTGTTCATTCTCCTGATTTATCTTTATAAATCATTGTTTGTTTGGATTAAAAACATCAGTTAAATATATCATATAGAGGACAAACACAGTGATATTTGAGAAGTGAAATAAAGTTTATATGATTTACAGAAAGTGTGCAATAATGGGTTAAACTAAATTAGACAGGTAGCTCCTCCTTTCACAGAAATAACAGCCTCTAAACTCTTCCTACAGCTTCTAATGAGAGTCTGGATTGTGTCTGAAGGTATTTTAGACCATTCTTCTTTACAAAACATCTCTAGTTCATTCAGGTTTGATGGTTTCTGAGCATGGACAGCTCTCTTTAAGTGAGACCACAGATTTTCAATAATATTCAGGTCTGGGGACTGAGATGACCATTCCAGAACGTTCTACTTGTCCCTCCCAGTCCCTGTACTGGTCCCACAGCCCCACAGCATGATGGAACCAGCCCCACATGTTACTGTAGGTAGCAGGTGTTTTTCTTGTTCTGCCCAAATAACTCTATTTTAGTTTCATCAGTCCACAGCACCTTATTCCAACATGAAGCTGGCTTGTCCAGATGTGCTTTAGCAAACCTCAAGCTGCTCTGTTTGTGATGTGGGCGGAGACAAGGCTTCCTCTGCATCACTCTCCCATACTGCATCTCCTTGTGTAAAGTGTGCTGAATAGTTGAACGATGCACAGTGACTCCATCAGCAGCAAGATGATGTTGTAGGTGTTTGGTGCTGGTCTGTGGGTTGACTCTGACTCTTCTCAACATCCTTCACTTCTGTTTATTCCAGATTAGTCTTGGTCTGCCACTTGGAGCCTACACTTGAACTGTGCCTGTGGTCTAACATTTTCTCACAATGTTTCTCACAGTGGAGACTGAAAGATGAAATCTCTCAGATATCTTTCTGTATCCTTCCTCTAAACCATGACGCTGAACAATCTTTGTTTTCAGATCATTTGAAACTTGTTTTCAGACTCCCATGCTGCCACTCTTCAGAGAAGATGAAAGAGGAGAAAAACTTACTATTGCCCCCCTTAAATACCCTTTCTCATAACTGGAGACACCTGTGTATGGAGGTCAAAGGTCACTGAACTTAACAAACCTAATTTAAGTTCCAATAATTAGTTCTAAAGGTTTTCAAATCAATAATATGATAACAGTGCCCAAATTTATGCACCTGCCTAATTTTGTTTAACCAATTATTGCACACTTTCTGCAAATCATATAAACTTTATTTCACTTCTCAAATATCACTGTGTTTGTCCTCTATATGATATGTTTAACTGATGTTTTCAATCCAAACAATCAGTGATTTATAAAGGTAAATCAGGAACATTAACAAGGCTGCCCAAACTTTTTCATATGACTGTAAATAAAAAAGATTAATAAAAAACAATAACATGCAAGTTCCATATGAGTTCAGTGGTTCACTGTTATAAAGTTCTGATGTTGAATTATTAAACATTAAGCACCAACTTCTTCAAATATTTACTTTTATAAACAGTTCTCATGTTTAAAAATGAACTTTAAAGGGCCACTACAAACACCAAAGGACTACATGTTAGTTCATTAGCATGTAGCTCATTAGCATGTAGCTCATTAGCATGGTTACATTTATTGTCAATTTGAATGATGTTCAGAACATAACAGAACTAAAATTACTTTACTCAGATCCCTGGTCCAACAAATATCTAAACAAATATAAACAACTAAACAATCATCTAAGTAAACATCTAAACTAACATTTAAACATGTAAACAAATCTACAAACATCTACAAAAACATCTAACTAACCATCTCCAAACTTTAGTCATGAAACAAACTGTTCTAAACCCGACAAATTCAGCAAACCTGCTTCAACTTCAGCAGTAAACTGATGCAGAGGGTTAGCATCAGTCAGCATGTTAGCCAGTTAGCATCAGGGAGCATGTTAGCCAGTTAGCATCAGTGAGCATGTTAGCCAGTTAGCATCAGTGAGCATGTTAGCCAGTTAGCATCAGTGAGCATGTTAGCCAGTTAGCATCAGTGAGCATGTTAGCCG